GTTTTGATCTTACCTGTCACCCTAGTAGATTTCTATGGTCAGAGGTTTTTTTTTGTTTTAGGGGGGTTTTTTTGGGCTCATTTTCTAGCCTATTTTGTGACTTTCAAAGAGCTCAATAGCTCTGCTCCTGGGATAGAGTGTGCACTGTCTCAAGCTTCTTTTGTCAGGGGCCAGGGCATTCCTCACTGGCTTTCTTCACTGGGGCTTCTGGGGCTGGCAGTTCACCTGTTACACTCGGGTCACCTGGCCTAGTCTGTTGGCTGCCAGGCCTGACCATTAGCCTGCTGCATCTGGTCTGGAGGCAACTCAGGTGGCCCACTGTTCTGCTTGTCTGTTGAGTTGGACTATATGCCTCTCTTCTGATCTGTGCTTGGGCTAGGGGCCTTCTCTGCTTGTTTGCCCAGACACTGCCTGTACCGGACTACACAATCCCCTTTTACTTAAGTGAGATAGACATTTCTTACAATCCTTCTAAGTTTTCTTGGGCTAGAAAATTGTTTTACCCTGTCCTTTTTTTGATTTTGTTGCTCTAGAATTCGTTTTGAAGCATAATTTAAAGTTGAGGGAAATTGTGGAGAGCTCAGGCAACTTCCTGCCTTTTCTCCACTATCTTGGTTCTGACTCTATTATACAATTTTTGAAACAAGCAAGTAGTATGCAGTGAAGAATCATGGTTTTGTATGCTGTGTATATGGAAATTTTCCCAGTTTAAATAATTTTTTTTTAAAAGTAAGAGCATTGTGCCTTACCTCTTCAGGGTGAAGGAGAATGGATTTCTCTTTACATTTCCTTTCTACCTTTCCTCTTACCAGCCATGGCTTTCTTGAGAAGAGTTACTCACTCAGTATACTCAGCCAAAGGAGGTACCTACCAAAGACACTCTACCTGGGGGGAATGAGCATAAGGATACCATTAGAGAAGGGCCATAGGATCTTAGAGGTGTCATCTTTACCACATATTCTCTAAATTCATGCCTTTCTGCTAGTATACTCTGTAGTGGGATGTGATTTACTTAGGGCAAAGTAAAATAATTAAATTAACTGACAAACAATGGTACCTTATAATTTTTATATTTTAAAAGAACTTTTATTGTAGAGTAAGTCCTTTTCCTGCAGTCATTTGTTCTACATGATTCGGCAATGGCTTCACAAGCTTTTGATAAATTTTAAAAGTCTTTTGCATGAAGCCACACTTTTATCACATGGGGTAATAAATGTCTTTGACAAGTGGTACATTTTTCTAAATCTAGTCTTGATTGTAGCCTGGAGGTTTTCAGTGAGGTTTAAACTAGATGAGTTCCTACTCCATTAAAACATGTTTATCTTCATCTTTTAGATTTTTTCAGTACTCCCATCTTTGTATGGTTTTGCCTATGTCAAGAGTATTTTCTTCATCTGTGGTTAGCAGCTTTTTAAAAAAAAAAACAACTGGTTTCATGATGTTCTTCCAGCTTAAGGAGGCTTACATGGCGCTGTAAGACAACTAATAAAACCCTTTGGTTGTCAGGGCTTACTAAGGGTCTTTGTTTTTTGAGGATATATTAGGCTGTTTCTAATAATAGTTTGTTGGTTTTTAGGGCTGTTTTTCATTTTGGACCATGCTTTTCTTTGTCCTTAGTATGACTTGTTTTGTTATAGGCTTTAATGATCCTTGAAAAGCTTGAGCCACCTACACCAGGGTCTGTTAAACAAGCATTTTTTTTAAACTTTTAAAAAATTAATTTATTTTGATTTATCAATAATCACTTCCATAAGCTTTTGAGTTTTAAATTTTTCTTTCCCTCCCTCCCAAAGATGGCGAGCAATCTGATATAGGCCATGCATGTAGATTCCTATTAAACATATTTTCACCTTAGTCATGTTGTAAGGAAGAATTACAACCAATAGGAGGAACCACCAAAAAGAGGAAACGAAATACAAAAGAAGAAAAAAAAATAGCAAATAGTATGCTTTGATCTGCATTCAAACTCCATGGTTCTTTCTTTGGATGTGGATAGCATTTTCCATCATGAAACATGTGGAGATGTCTTAGATCCTTGCATTGCTGAGAAGGGCTGAGTCTATCAAAGTTAGTCATAGCACAACGTGGCTGTTACTGTGTATAACATTCTGCTGGTTCTGCTCACTTCATTCAGCATCAGTCCATACAAGTCTTTCCAGGTTTTTCTAAAGTCTGCCTGCTCATCATTTCTTAAAGCATAATAGTATTCCATTACATTCATATACCACAACTTGTTCAGCCATTCCCCAGTTGATGGGCATCCCCTGAATTTCCAATTCTTTGCCACCATAAAAAGAGCTGCTATAAATATTTTTGTGTGGGTGAGTCCTTTTCCCATTTGTATGATCTCTTTGGGATACAGCCCTAGAAGTGCTATGCACATTTTTATAGCCCTTTGGGCATAGTTCCAAAGTGTTCTACAAAATGGTTGGATCATTTCACAACTCCACCAACAATGCATTAGTGTTCCAATTTTCCCACATCTTCTCCAACATTAATCATTTTCCTGTCTTCTCATGTTGGCCAATCTGTGGTACCTCAGAGTTGTTTTGATTTGCATTTCTCTAATCAATATTTATTTATAACATTTTTTCATATGACTATAGATGGCTTTAATTTCTTCATCTGACAACTGCCTGTTCATATCCTTTGACCATTTATCAATTGGGGAATGACTTGTATTCTTATAAATTTGACTTAATTCTCTATATATTTTAGAAATGAAGCCCTTATTAGAGACACTGGTTGTAAAAATTCTTTCCCAATTTTCTACTTGCCTTCTAATCTTGGTTGCATTGGCTTTGTTTGTGCAAAGACTTTTCAATTTATTGTAATCAAAATTATCCATTTTGCATTTTGTAATGTTCTTTATCTCCTGTTTTGTCATTAATTCTTCTGTACTCCATAAATCTCATACGTAAACTATTCCTTGCTCTCCCAGTTTGTTTATAGTATCAGCCTTTATATCTAAATCATGAACCCATTTTGACTTTATTTTGGTATATGGTATGAGATTTTGGTCTATGCCTAGTTTCTGCCATACTCTTTTCCAGTTTTCCCAGCAGTTTTTGTCAAATTCTTATCCCAGAAGCTGGGGTCTTTGAGTTTATCAAATAGTAGATTACTATAGTCATTGACTACTGTGTCTTGCATACCTAACCTATTCCACTGATCCACCACTCTATTTCTTAGCCAGTACCAAGTAGTTTTGATGATTGCTGATTTATAATACAATTTAAGATGTGGTATAGCTAGGCCACCTTCTCCTGCATTTCTTTTCATTAGTTCCCTTGATATTCTGGACCTTTTGTTATTCCCAAACAAGCATTTATTAAGTACTCACCCATGATCCACATAGTGTGCTAAGTGCTAGAAATGCAAAAAAACCAGGACTGAGTTTGTTGTTTGACTGACCACCAACAATATTTTTAACGGTCATGTATAGCATGGTCTTTAAAAGTGAGACTTTTCAGGGACAGCTAGGTGGTGCAGTGGATAGAGCACTGGCCCTGGATTCAGGAGGACCTGAGTTCAAATCTGGCCTCAGACACATAACATTTACTAGCTGTGTGACCCTGGGCAAGTCACAACCTCATTGCTTAGCCAAAAAATCAAAAAAATACAAATGAGAATTTTCACCTTTTTTTGAAGGCAGGTAGGTGCCACCATGGATAGAATGCCTGGCCTTAAGTCAGGGAGACCTGAATTCATATTGAACCCTAGCTGTGTCACCCTGGGCAAGTCATTTAACCTGTTTGCCTCAGTTTCTCTATTTATAAAATGGGGATAATAATATTGCACTTACCTTTCAGGGTTAAGATCAAATGAGATAATAATTGCAAAGCACTTAGCATAGGGCCTGGCACACAGCGTGCTCTATAAATATTAGCTACAAGTACTGTAAGTAATATCCATTCTTAAAAAAGCACAGGCTTAAAAACAATAAAAGGGAGCAATAAAACATGTATGGTACGAAATCCAGCACTAATTTGACAGAGGACTAACAGCAAAGATCTTGTTTCATATAGTCAAGGTCAGATGTTCTGAGCCAGTCTAATGTCAAAAGAATCACACAAATGACCACTTCTATCATAAACTTAAACCATATTAAAACCATAGCTCGATCCAAGTAATGCACACACTACTTCGTTTATGTATGCCCATTCTTCCCATTGATACTGTGTGCATATTTATGGGATAGAGTGTCTCAGATTTTTTGTGAGGGAAGAGTGCTCTGTATCTAATGGTTTTATGATGCTATCTCAGTAGATGTCTTTGCTTTGAACTTATAATTGTTTATTTAAAGTAAATGCACTAGGTGGGGGGACTCCTCACTTAAGAGTTTTAGGAATGCAAAACCACACAGTACCTTGAACCTCAGGTAGTTGTCCTTGATTACCCAACTTACTACCATGAGAGGGGGTGCTACATTTATATAATAATGTAAATGAGTCTGCCTATGCTTTCAGGTATATAGGTACGAAAAAGGGGTATAGGGCTTTTTCTATAATCTTCTGGCAAATCTTCACAGACTTTAAAACTGAGTAGTTTTCAAGTTTCCACTCCTTCCGTTATAATGGGGCACCTTCAATAATTGAGAGAATTATTCAGGAGGCTTCACTACCCATCAAAGCTCTTGGCATTGGTCACCTTCTCCTTCAGAGAGAGATGACTGTGGGAAATGGTTTCTATGATGCAGTTGCCAAACTCCCAGAGTCAAGGTCTAAAGCTGCATCAGCTCTGCGAAAGCCTCCTCTCAAGCAGCTCACGTTGGATACACAGGCTTGTCAGGGAGCGCTCGCTTCTACCTTCGTACCCAGGGGTCGCTCATTCCCGGGGAACCAGGTGTTCCCGTGGCAGCCAGGCTGACTCACACAGTCATCTGGCACCGAGGTGCTGTCGTCACCCTGGCTCTTGACTGCAGGTTTGGAGTGAGGCCAGGGAAAGGGGAAGAGGAGGGAGGAAGGAAGGAGAGGGAGGAGGAACTTGGGACTGCGACTGCGCACGGGGATTCAGCTTTCAGTTCGTCAACGCTGGGCTACTGGAGGCAGCTTGCAGAAGCAACCGCTGCGGCCGCCGTGGGCAGGCGGTGGCTGGAGGAAGACATGCGGCGTTACCTGAGGGTGCTAGTGCTCTGTCTGGGCTGCGGCTTTTGCTCGTTGCTTTACGCCCTCAACCAGCTCTCTGTGTCCCTGGAGGAAGAAGAGACTGGCGGTGGCGGGAAGCTGAAGGCCGCAGCTGCTTCCTGGCCCACTGTTAGTGGACGTGTAGATGGGAAAGGGGCGCGAAGCGTAGGCCCCAAGAACCACCCGGGCTGGTCCACCAGGTAGGCTGGCTTCTTTTGCTTATGTGCGACACCCCGCCCTCTAGAAGAGCGGAGGGAAGCGTGGCTTCTTCAGCCGGGCCGGGGCAGGTATATTGTCCGGTTCTTCGGCCGCGCCCCGCCTCTCCTTCGGTCCCTCCAGTGCGGTGTTGCTGCTTCACTCCCGAAGCGCTGAACCGCAGCCTCACATTTCGGTCCTTGGCTTTAGTTTTCAGCCTTCTGCCCAGATCTCTGTGCTGCCCTGTGACACTTAACTAGTTAAAACACAGCTCCCAGTTTGTGGTAGGTGATTTTCATGGGTGTATCACGTAATTAAAAGGAATCGCTTGGAAGAACTTTTCTGTGCCTGTTTAGTTTAAATATTTTCACAACACAGCTGAAACTGGAGAATTTAAACACAAGGTAGGGACTCTCCCAAACTTCACTTACTGAAAGGGATTCCCAAAATTTTTTATGTTAACATTTTCGGGTTTAGGCATCTTTCACATTATTAGTAATTCTCCTAAATCTAGATGCTTACACCTACTTTTGGGCTGTTGTTGTTACACTTTGGAGTTTAGTGATTTTCCCAATTTAAAAAATCCCCACTGGTGTTGAAAACAAAAATAATTCACATATCCATGGAGGCTCCCAACCAAAATAATCCACGTATCCATGGAAGCTCACCAGTGAATTAAAAAAAAAAAGGTATTTTAAAGATAGATTGTATTTTGTCAGCACCTATATACAACTTGTCATGTTTGGAATTAACTTGGATCTACTGGAGACTTTTAAAGCCAAAATAATCACCTCTACCCTTGTATAACTGAACCAGTGCTTATCCAGAAAGAATTTAGGCATACTATATGCCAATTGGTCTTTTGCATCAGTGTCTTCAGTGACAGAAGTCTTTCCTAGATGGGAGGCGAGTTTAAGGTATGCATAAAGAAGCTAGGCAGCTCTTTTGTCTGGTGGATTATTAAGACATCTGAGACTTCCCTGCTTGTGAGTACAAAAATATCATCTAAAGTTAAAGAAATTACTTTTGGACCTATAGTATAGATAATTGACGGTACTTTGTGCAGATCTGAATATTATGAGAAATGATATTTGAAAATTAAGTTGTATAAAATTTTGTAATTATATTTATATTACCAAATAATTTGGATTTACTTGTAGAATGATAATGAAATACTGTTAAAACAGGAAATGATATTGCATGACCATTTGGCACAAAATATCTTCCAATATCAATCATTTAATCTTGTGCCAATAATTCAATTTGCAGTACATACTAGCAGTTAATATTATTAGAATTCATTTGATTATTTGAAATGTAAAATAAAAGCCCCTGTAGTATTTGAACACAGGGATTAGTTTATTGACTGTCACTGAAATCTTTAATTTGGTGTGTAAGAGTAGTACTATTATGAAGAGTAGAGTCACTTTAAATTAGTTTAGCCTTTGTTATAATGAGGATGTGTTGATATTTTACTTTTAGATCTCCATGATAGAATTTGATTGAGAATGAAGGTAGGTACTTAAATATGAAATTCTGACTGTTGTGAATGAACCCTTTCAGAGAAGAAGTATCTGAGAAGACCAATGTTGCAACTTAGAGGAATTGCTCTGATGAACTTAGACTTTTAGTTTATTTTGAAAATTTTTTTGATTTCTTTTTCTTTTTGTCACCTTTATTTCTTAGTCTAATCCCTCTCTTTAGCTTCAGAGTGATTCTTTATAGCAAAGAATAAAAGAGGAGAAAAAAAAAGTAGAACAATACTAATCAACACTTCAACCAAATCTGACAGTGTATGTAGTATCCCACATCCATAGTCCCTCATCAAAGAGGGGAGATGCAGTGTCATATCTCCTTTTTGGGGAGTAAACTTGGTCATTATAACTATATACAGAATCATAGAATTTGAGAGTTGAAAGGGACCTCAGAGCCTGTCTAGTCCAACCCATATGTATAAGGAATCTCCTTGATATTATAACTAAGGAGTGGTAGGCCAACCTCAAAGCTAATATATGCCCATGTAATGTATTTGATTTTTATTGTTTTGTTGTTTTTTCCATTTAATTTGTTGTCATTGTTTTTTTAGTTACTCTCACTTAATTTTGTTGATTCATAGAAGTATTCCTATGCCTCTCTGTCTTCTTTATACCGAGTTTCTTATAGCAGAATAATATTCCATTACATTCATGTACTACTGTGCTTACTGTTTGATTATTTTTTTTAAAGCATTTAATTTGGTTAGAGATTGCTGGTGGCTCAGTGTACTAAGTGGTGGGCCTGGAGTCAAGAAGATCCCAGTTCAAATTAGACCTCAGACACTAGCTGTGTGACCCTAGGCAAGTCACTTAACTTCTGTTTGCCTCAGTTTCCTCAACTGTAAATGGGGATAATAGTGGGACCTATGTTTCATAGGGTTGTTATGAGGATTAAATGACATATTTATAAAAGTACTTAGCACAATGCCTGGCACACAATGAGTACTATATAAATGCTTATTTCCTTCCCTTTCTTAATAGAACAAAATTCCACATTACAGTCTCTTGTGGATTGGATTGCTTTAGGGACGTTGTAAAGCTCTTCTGCTGACAGCAATCTTCCTATGAAAGTCAAGGCTCATCTTTTTGTACTAACATTTTACTGGTGTTGCTGTATAGCAGTGAGATGTGAAGTACCACTGACTCTGAAAAAATAAAAACGAATATTTCCAGAGCACAGTGGAAAGGAGCATGGTGGGTGTAAGTAAGCTACAATTAACTACTGAGAAACTCCAGAGAAGAATAGGAGTAAAATACGGGAGGGATGACAGATGGAAAACCAGAGTGTTCTAGTATACTGTTGATTTTGAGAAATCACAGAAGGCATGTAGCACATTGGGTGTACTTCCTATGGTGAACTTTTGGGAAAATATGGACAAGAGTTGATTAGGATGGACAGGCATGAATGAGTTGCAGTTGACAGATCTATTTGTGTTTTTGTGTGCCCCAACTCATTTAACCATTTCTTTAATTGAATGCTACACGATTTACTTCCAGGTCTTTGTTATTGCAAAAATAATTCTCTCTTTCTCTCATAGTTGTTTTCATAATCTATTTCTTTGGGTCGCAACAAAATAATGGGCTTTCGGCAAAGGATATGGACACTTTAGTCAGTTTCTTAGCACAGTTCCAAATTGTTTTCTGAAAGGGTTGAACAAGTTCACAGCTTTACCAACTGAACATTGGTGTACTTGTTTTTCCACAACCCCTATAAATAACATTAAGTATTCCCATCTTTTGGCATCTTTACCATTTTATTGGATGTGAGATGAAACTTTAGTTGTGGTGTACCCTTCTTTTACTGTTATTTCTTTGGGTTCCATATGGTAGTTAATTTGTAGCCTTTTGAAAATGGTTTCTTCTTATATTTTGAGCACCCAGTTACTTGATTGTGGTTATTGTACTTCATTCTCTTAGAGAATCAAGTTACAATGTGTCCAAGTGGCTTATTAGACCAACACAAGCTCAGAATGCTCTATGCAGGTGGGGTGCAAATAGTCCATATGAACATTTGGGGTAGATTCTCTAAATTTACATATCTTTAGTTCTTTTGAGCTTCTTCAATTTTGCTTTGTTCGTAGAACGCAGTACCTTCTCTGATGAGGGCATGCTTTGCTGGGTGGTCCTGTGCCGGTGTCTCCTATGTCACACAATCAGTTCCAAAGTTCTTAAGAGAGACTTTGAGTGTTCTTGTGTTGCTTTTTCTGACTACCGTGTGAGCACTTGCCCTGTGTGAGTTCTCTATAAAAGAGTCTTTTTGGCAAGCATACACGGAGATAGGTAAAAATGGTGAAATAGCATGGGTGATGTCTTGATTCATGTATAAATTGGATTTAAATGAGGCAGAGTTACATGAAGTCATCAGCCTCACTCTTTCTTCCGGAGTCATCACAGTCCAGTGGCAGGACAGAGTCAAGACAACTGGTTATGGCTTGAGATGCAATGGATGACTTTGGCATCTTCGATGTCTAACCAAAGTCTATGTGCTCCACAGCCCATTTCAGCTGCCTTCAAGGCCGTCAGAACAAATTGTTTTCATCTGCCCATTCTACCATGGCAAGTCTTCACATGCTTGGGGTAGACATCCCCCTAACTCACCAATGGGTTTGAGACCCTTCAGTTACCCTCAGCCTGATTTAGTCCCTCTGCTGAAACAATTTACTGGTGTGTTGCTACTGCACCCATTACAGTTTCTTGGCGCTGCAGATGAGAGTTAGGTAGATCAGATGGACACCAAAGGTGAAAAGCAGCCCTTAAAAGCACTTGGTAACCCATACATCAGAGGTACTAGTCTTCCTTGAACACACCCTATACCCCACATGTTACTTATATATTGATTGGTTGGTGGTTGTCTTTTGAAGAAGACCAAAAATGACATTACTATATTAGAGGGATATCAGTACGTGGTTGATCATGCCAATATGAGCTTGGAAGGCTGTACTACAGATTGGGCACAAGTGTGAACATTTGGAGTGGATATGTCTCTAAATTTGTACATCTCATATTTCTTTTGAACTGCTTCAATTCTGCTTCACTTGTAGAGCATAGCGCCTTCTTTGATGAGAATACTCCATGCTGGGTGCTCTCCATGTCTCCAGTGTCTCCCATGTCACACAAATGGATTCCAAAGTTCTTCAAAGAAACCTTGACATATGTATCTTGAATATTCAAGAGACCCTTATCTAATATATTTGATAATAATTTTTTGCCCAATTGACATTTCCCTTTTTATCTTAGTTGCCTTGCGTTGATTTTTTTTATGTAAAAGCTTTTCAGTTTTGTGTGATCAAAATAATCTATTTTATCTTTTGTATCTACCTCTCTCTTTGTTTTTTTTTGTTGTTGTTAAGAACTCACCTCCTAGCTTTAACTATGAAAAGGTCCATAATCTGGTTATCTGCCAATTTTTTCTTCTAATTTATCTTTAATGTTCAGGTCCTGTCCATTTTTAGTTTATTGTGGTATGTGGT